ATGTAACTATCTATGTCAGACAGGAAGGTATGTTTGAAGTCCAGTCTGGGTGACAACCATGGCTCCCTTCATATACAGTGGAGTAGAAGTATAGCCACCCAGGGGCAGGATATCCTAGCTTTTCATCACCTGGTATTCCTGAGAATAACACACTTACTGTATAAGAAGTGAGTGACAACACCCACTCACTGTACTTAAGCATGGAGGAGCAGGGCTGTCAGGCTAGGATATCCTGCCCCTGGGTGGCTATACTTCTAGGTACTTGTCAAAATGCCCTGTATCGGGCCCGATTCCGATGCTAGCATCGGTCATCCCTAGTTTGGACACCATGTCATTCACTACTTTGTAGTAAAGCTTTAGTTGCAGAAATCACAAAACAGTAATAGTTCTTATATTGCAAATGCAATAGTGCAAATAGTGATTGTGCATTAAGGACCACTTCACTTTCACCCTCCTGAATGGTAACCACTTAGTAAAATACTTACCTTCATCACTGCTCCTGAGACGTTCACTTCGCTGCCCAATATAGCAGTCTTTGCAGCAAAACCTCTCGGCCGCATCCAGCTCTTACCGCACGTGCCTGCCACTCAACCCATGATTTGGTCCATACTCCTGTGAATGGCTGGGGGCCTCCATAAGACCAGTCCTCCATAAGACCAGTCCCATGCATGCACAGTAGAAGCTGGATGCGGCTGGGAGCTTTTGCTGCAAAGGCGTGTGGTGTCTTGTAGGGTCGCACAGTGAAAATCTCAGATACTGGGATGCAAGAAAGTATTTTACTAGACTGCCTGCCACTCAGATGGGTGTGAGGAAACGATCAAGCAAAATTTCGCTGACCGCAAAGTCCGTTTGAAGCCCAACTCCAACTTTTGTTAGGGTTATATACTGTACCTCCCTTCCTGTGACAGCAGGACAAATGCCGGTAAGTTGTCACAGCGCTCCCTCCAGCCTGTCTAACCCTCCCTGCAGCATTGTAATCTTCATCAGCGTCCTCACGTCTATACACTGTGTATAGACGTTGATGATTTACAGGACCTTAGATCGCTGCTGAGGATGGGGAGAGACATTGGAAGGACTGGTCTAAGAAGAAGCCACTTCGGGTGAGTATAACTTTTTGTTTTTTTTAACCTATACACAAACGAGCAGTTAACCCTTGCAGTGCAGGAGTAGTCCCACTGCAAGGGTTACTAAAAAAAATTCCTGGAGTTTTTCTTTAACCTAGAACAGGGCCACAGAATATAATTACATAGAGCATTTTTAGAGAGGTTCTGTAGTCCTCTGTGTTAGCTTGGCAACACAGTAATGGATCAGAGTGCAGCACAGGAAGATATCAACTGGCAATATTTCTTGCAGGATCATGTTTTCTTTTGCATTTATCAAAGACATATAACAAAACAATTTCAGTGATATAATTAACAGACCACTTCACTTAGAATATAAACAAAACAAATCTGGAGATACAACTTTTGCATACGACTGTTCTACTTTGCGTTGCAATTAGGAAGTGCTTTAACCCTTTGGCTGCCACAAACGTATGTCGTACATCGCTGGCAGCGGTCCCGGTAGAAAGATTTATAGCTACCAGGACTCTTTTTTTTTTTTTTTTTTGTGTGTGTGTGTAAAGCCGACTGTCAGCTTTACACTGGAAGCGATTGTGACACTTCAGCTGCCCCCAGATCATTTCCAGGGGCCAGTGTAGTGCTCCCTCCGACACCCCCACCTTGCTTCCTGGGCTCCGCTGCCCCTCCTGTGGGCCCAGGACCAGCATCACTGGTGTCGGCGGGAAGGAGACCAACGGACATCCGTGCGCCGATCTCCTCTTCTGCTCTATGGGACTGGAAGCGACACGGATTGCATCACTTCCGGTCCCTCAGCTGCCATTGCTTGGCTGCAGAACCCTAAAGAGTACCTGTCATCACAAGTATGCTATCACATAGGGGGGCTTACAATTAAGTAAAGTAAAAAAAATAAATCAGGAAAATAAATGATAAAAGAAAAAAATATATATAAAGGTCCATGCCTCTGCACACGGGGCATGTTGGGTATCTATTTACTTATTGTAACCTCATCTTTTATATTGTATTGGTTTATTCATAAAATGGTTCATTTCTCCCACACCTGTTACTTAAAGCAGACCTTTTTACGGTCATGCATTACTGTGCATTGTAGTTTGCTGGGTTACAAAAAATAGTGTTTGCACCTTCTTTGTTATGCTAGGCAGCCCATTTATTTAAAGAGACTGCCCTAGCACAATGCACGTTATCGCGCGTTAACACAGTGCAGCAGTGTAAACTGTTTAATGCCGCCCCACCACAATATTTGCTGTTCTGCTGCTAGACCCCCTGCAGATTCCCTAACATGTGTTGCACCTGTGCCATTTTCAGCGGGCAGGTAAATAAGTTCTCCTAATAATTCATGTTTTTATTTTGCTAAATAGTGACCAAATAGGTTTAGAGCCATACTATTTAAAATAAAATCATTTGTTTTCTTTAAAAAGAATTGTTTCTTTAAGAGATTGTTAGATGTAGTAGATCAGAACTCACTTGCACTGCTTTAGTCACTGAGCCAATTTTGTACCTAAGAAAGGAGCTGGCTTCATGAAGGTCCAAATATCTGCCCCTTTGATGCATGCCAGAACACCGCAGCGTGACAGTACTTAATGGGCTGGAACTCCCAGGATGCCGTGGTGAGGCTGAACCAATTATCCGTTAATCTAGAGCATTTGTAATGTGCCAGCTCCCAGTGCATTATTAATGCAAGCGAACTGGGGACTTCTATTAGTGCAAAAGTAATCGGGGTATCCCACAAAACGTCTGATCCAGAGGTTCTGGTTTTGCAGTGCAGTTTAACCCTTGTTGAATATATATAAATATATATATATATATGGTTAATTATATTATCAAGTGCAAACAAAGCCCAGATAGATAGATAGATAGATGGATATCTCAAGATGCTAACTCATTGCACCTGAAGTATAAGCTATGAAGACATATTAAACCTGGTACAAAGAATGTGATATGGGCACTAGTTCTAGCGCATGCTTTCTATTATTGCCTACAGTATAGCTTATCAAAACTGTGGAAATTGTGCCATTTTCATTTTTTTAAGTTCTGAGTTGGTCAAAATGCAAAGTTGATCAGAGATCTGACAGTTGCTGCCCAGTCAACTCCTTTATCCCCCAGCTCCTAAGGGTGCATAACGGCATCAAATAACAGTCCTCCACATGTCTCACTGAGATCTAGCAGTCAGCTGAAAAAGTTAGGAGCCGGCAAAATACAGCCAGTCCCCAAGGTGATTGGTATCTCCTAATCTTATTTTACTGACACATTTGCACATTTTTACCAAACAAAGACAAGCATGTGTGTAAATTGAGTAAAAGAGACCCAGACAAATCTTGGTTGCCATTGCCAATAAAAACAAAATAGAGCTGTATCCCCCAAAAAATATTGTTTATTTGCACAAAATTTCTTGCAATACTATGGAAATGTAATTGTTTTTCCTTCCTTGGAGTATGTGGTACAAAGTAGTCCTGTGGTTTTAAATTGCATTACCATATTATTTTAAACATTTGTCTTCAAATAAATAGTCTTTTTTGGGGACACAGTCCCGTTTTTGTTTTTTTTTTGCACAGTTTCATGGTAGTCTGCAATACAAATGTATTGTTTTGGGAGTGCTTAGTGTTTGGGGAAATCCCATTTCTACTAGGGGCCATCTAGTGGCAGCTGTGGAAACTGCAGTGAATAAGGAAATTGCCTTTTACTAGATGCCATCCTGAGGGTCAGTGGAACGTTTGTCAATAAACTCATATAAAGTACTCAAATGCCTGGCTGCCCAGGAGCTTTCTTTTGTCAACCCGACAACTGGTATTTGTCCAGCCCTGCTTTAAATAGGTCTCACTGACTACAAGTAAGATGCAGAGGAAAGGTGGAACTTGGCACAAAGTGCATCTAAAGCCAACACTTTTTATTTGTTTTGGATACAGCAGGAAAGGTTTAGAATCTGCCAGGTTTTTATTTCTGTCAGTGTCCCTGCTGGGTAGATTCACCCTTTCTATTCGTCCTAGTGACAATTATCAACAGGATTGAAAGTGAGAGAAATTACAGAATGTTGGGTTGTCAACAGAACAGGAAGAGAAGGGAAAATCTTCCAATAGGGACACTTGTTCGGGTGATAGTTGTCTAAGATCGTATTTCCCTCACTTTGGAGAGATATTCTCACTTCCTTTTGTGTCTATGAGTCAGGAAATGAGGGGAATTCTCCCCAATGGGACAGGGACAGCAAAAATAAACCTAACAGGGGTTTCCACTCTTATCCACAGTAAAAAAGAAAAAAATTTCTTGGAATCTTGATCTCCTTTAAGTATTTTACATTTGCATAGTGAACCGCCCAGATTTCAGGAATTTATATATGATATTTCATGTGAGCAACCCACTGTGTCTGCTTTTCAGCTCTGTAGTCACTTCAGTATGTTAAAATTGAACACAGATTCACTTTAATAGCTTTTATTTTTCAGTGCATCCAGAATATAAAACCGGTTTAATTTTCATATTTGCATCTCATTATAGTCTGTTTTGCTTATTCTAAGTTGAGTCTCTGGAATACCTAATACTATGGTTTATCTTGGCAGAGCCATGCACTGAAAAAAATGGAAATGTCAGAATTACACATGACTGTTTGTATGGGATAGGTACCATAAACATGAAGCCTGCAGGCTGTTGCATTTATGCTGTATCACTAGCAAACAGAAGACATTTGTGTCAGAGGAGATAGACATTGGCTTCTGTGTTTTATTCGTCTTGTTTGATTCAGCATCCTGTCAGCCCGCGGTCCATCTGTCTTGCCTGTAATTCCAAGGCTTATGTTTTTGTGTATGTGTTGAGAGTCCAACTTGCAGAGAAACAAGACACGGGAAATAAAACTTGATTCCCGCTAATGTACCTAGTTAGGAATCCAGTCACATATTGTATTTACTTAAAACCCATCTGTGCTTGTTTTACCAGTAATATATTCGGTCTGCGGCCTGTAGACTATGCAGAAACAGAGGAGATAAAGTTGGCATTGCTGCAAGCACAGAAAAACAAGGAACCACTTGTGAAGCTGCCATGCTCTGCCGTAAGTAATCAAATCTGCAGGGTTGTGTAAGACTTTTGCCATTGCTTCCCTTTTACAGGGGCCTAGGTCCGGAATTTTCTATTCTTTAATTTTTTTACAAAATATTTGTTTAAACTATCATAACTTAATACAGGGGCGCCCACTATTTTTCGTCTGGAGATCTACTTTTCAAATGACGAGCTCATTGAGATCTACCAACGAAAAAACACCTGCATTCAGAGGCGGGAGGGGGCGTGGCGGTGCACCGCAGCCAGGCCCCTCGCCCACAGTGCGATCGCCTGCATTACTGCCTGTGTTCCAGTCCAGTGCCATCCGCAAAAATGCTGCGAGCACTATTTTTGCAGATCGCACTGGACCGGAATGCAGGCACTAATGTGCCTGCGTTCCAAGTGCGGGCGATCACAATGTGGGCGATGCCATTGACTTCAATACAGCTCCACACCCCCTCCCGCACCTGAACGCAGGGAGTCGGCCGGCTTACATTTCACTGCGCCCTACATGTCCCGGCGTCCTGTCCTCCCGTGGTGCTCGTGTGGCCGACGTTGCACATGGGGTGTCCTGCACCTTTCCATCTGCAGCGTCTGACACATTCAGCCGGCAGCCGCACGAGCACCACGGGAGCATAGCCGTAGCCAGCTCCTTTTGCGCCTGAGGCAAGAAAAAAAACAACGTTTTTTTAATTTATTTTTTACTATTTTTTAAATTTAATTTTCATTATTTATTTTAATTTTTTTAAAATTTTCGTAATTAATTTTTTTTTTACTCTTGGGGGGGGGTTTTGTGTTTGTCCTGCACAGAGGATTGGTACATACTACTGACATGTACCGATCCTCTGCCGCTTTTGCCACGCACAAATGGGCTCAGCTTCTCCTCTGCATCCCCCCCCGTGACAGAACGGACAAGCAGTGAGGGGAGAGAGAGGCGCCGGCTGTCAGATCCTGGCCGAGCGTCTCTCTCTCTCTCTCTCCTCACCGCTCTGCATTAGTTCTGTGACAGCGGCTCCGCCCTCCCCCGCCGCCGGTTCCTTCACTTCTTCTCGGAACCTGCTGGGGAGAGCAGCGGGGATCCAGAGAAGCGGCGGGAGGAGAGGACATGGCGATCTACCAGTGATCGCTACGCGATCGACCTTGTGGGCACCCCTGACTTAATATGTTGAACTTGATAGATCTGTGTCTTCAACCTCAAATACTACGTAACTATGTGTATGTCATGCTATGCAGTAGGTTCACTACCTGATGCATTACATGCACATTCCCCTAGTTTTATCTCTTTACAAAAGCTAGAAAAGTTGTCAGCTCAGACATGGTTAGGAGCTTCCATATTTCTGGCAGGATCAACAGTTACAGTACTGTGTGCAAAAGTTTTAGACACATGTGAAAAATTGCTTTTAAATGAGGATGCTTTCAAAAATAATGCAATTAATATTTTGCTTTCTTTTATCAATCAACCTACAAGGTACATTGCCAGCAAAAAACATAAATCAAATCAATATACACATTTTCAAACATCAGAGCTTCTACTGCCTAATAAGGTTCTGGCATTTGACACTCGAATGGCAGTAGTGGGGATCTAGTGTCAGGAAATGGCAGGGTTTCATCACAATGTAGACGCATGTCACTCCCCTTTGTTCAGCCTGGTCCTGTTTAAGGGAGATTTTCCTGGTTAACAAAAATAATAGCAGGCACCTTGTGGTGTCTAATGTTAGGCTGAAGCTTTACTTGAAAAAGTTTTAAAAAGGTCGGTGAGATCGATTTAAGATTAATAAAAAAATCTCAAAGGGTTTTTCCATTTCCAAATATTAGTTTGTGTGGACTTTGGTGTTTTGTATCACATGCTGGCCCTTCATAGGACCGAAGTAGTCCAGCACCAAACTACAGCTTTCCGCTCTACCTTAAAGGAAATCACTCATCCTCATAGTTCGAGCCGACGTGTGACAATGAAACTGTCACAGTCAGCTCAATAGATCGGGAAGTGAGCGAACACACACCGTCGCTCGCTCACTTCTTGAACGTGTCCCTGCAGAGAGCAGTGACTGTCACTCACGGGTCCCTGCAGGGATTCCCCCACCTCCCCGCTCCGATCCTCCAGCACTGACTGAAGGAACGAATGGGGGAGGGGGCGGGTACAGCTGGCTCTGCCTCTAGATAGGCAGATCCAGCTGTCACTCACGCAGCTGGGTGGATCTGGACAGTAATGTCGGGATCCATCCCAGCTGCGGCGGTCTCAGTATACCACCAGCTGTAGCTGGCGGTATACTGAGCTTGGGGTCACTGGAGGAAGCTTGTATATGTCCTCCCGTGACCCTGAGGAGAACTATGGGGGAAAAACACTTACCCCATAGTTCTCCTTTAACTTTGAATAAATGTATCTGCAAATGTTTTACCTAATTTGTATAAATTATTACCATGCACATACATTTTACTGCTACTTATTTGTATAGGCCCTAAATATGAATATAGTACATCTGAATTGCACACAATATGAATGTTACAGGATGAGCTTTTTCAGATTGGCAACCTTGTACAGTAAATAAATGGAAATATCGCCTTTGCATTCTTTGCTATGAATGGCAGAGAGAACTGTGACAAATATGCAAGGTCCATTATGCTGTGCTTGGAATATGGATGGTTTAAAGATGGGGGATACTAAATAATATATGCAAGTTAATTCTTAACAGTGTCTCTTTGAATTGTGTGCTTTACAGCTGAACAGACAGCAACGTAGGGAAGAGCCCGTAGTCCTTTTGGCTAGTGGCCTGTCAGCTTCTCAAAAGACTAATCTCGCAAAGCTTGCTTCCCTTCTGAAAGCAGAAATATGCTCCAACTACAGTAGTTCAGGTGGGTGCAAGTGTGATGCTTTGAATCTAAAATATATATTCCTGTTTGTGGGTGATGGTTTTCTCATCATGTAATTTTGAATTACGTCCCATGAAAACCTTGCTTGTGATATATCCAAACCACACAAGAGTAGACATGGGTCTGATTTTGAAAGGACAAACTTTACTTTTAGTGCATATACAGTATATGAAAAATGGAACAGCTTAAAGTGTACTCCAGTTATCATAAATTATTGTAACTAATCCAGATGACTCCCGATTACAGATATGTAAACACTATGAAGGACATTTCACCCTTCGGTATAGGTACTCCAGCATTTAAAAAAATGTGCCCAGAGACAATTACATTTTATTTAAAGTTTTTGGCTTGTCTGGAAGTCTTCTTGAACGTAAACATGTCACAAACCTGGAAAATTCAAACTGCAGTTGCCTCAATGAATACCACACTTTTAGGATGCTCAGTAGATCAGCCTTTCTCAACCAGAGAGACCTATATGGCTTCCTATGGGGTGCCTGACAATTTTTGCACTCCGTCATGCCTTTCCATGGTGCAGGGAGCATTGGATCCCTTTAAAAAAAAAAAAAGGATGAAGGTTCTCCTATGCCTGCTCTGCCTCCCACCCTCTGCCATGCTGCTGCTCCTGATGTGATGATGGGACTGTGAGGTGAAGGGGAAATTGAGGACTGTGAGGTGAAGGGGGAGCTGAGGACTGAGAGGTGAAGGGGGCAGCTGGGGACTGTGAGGTGAAGGGGGCAGCTGAGGACTGTGAGGTGAAGGGGGGAGTTGAGGACTGTGAGGTGAAGCTGAGGGCTGTGAGGTGAAGGGGGGAGCTGAGGGCTGTGAGGTTAAGGGGGGAGCTGAGGACTGTGAGGTGAAGGGGAGACTGATAAATCTGGAATAAGGGCCTGGTATGAATTTTGGAGGGGCCACATATTATTTTTTTAGATTTACTTTTTTTTTAATCATAAGCTTTGTATTTTCTTCGCTTTGACAAGTTTTATTGTGTACTTTTTGTTTTCTTTGGTAAGTAGGAGAGCAGACAGAATCTGGAGCAGTTGCACATGGCAACTAATCCGGTTCCATCTTTCATTTTTAAAGCTTAACTGAACAAACTGAAGATAGAAGTTGATTGATTACCATGGGCAGTTGCTCCAGATTCTGTCTGCTCAAGTTTCAATTAATTCCCCCCACAGTATTTGTTGAAGTCTAACAGAACAAGGCCCATACAATTATAAGGTTTTGTTGTAGATTTATTGTTGTTCTCTTGCCTTTTTAGTAACACACCTTATTGTCGGGGAGGATCCTATGCTTCGTACCTTGAAGTGTATGATGGGGATGTCATCTGGTTGCTGGATCCTTCAATATGCTTGTAAGTTGTTATGTTTAGAAAAATAGATAATGCTAACCACTTCTCATTTATGTAAATATTGTGCCTGCTGTGCTGGGTTTTAGAGCGGCAAGCGGTACATGTGCAATATGTATCCAAAGTGAACCTTTCTGTTCCAACATTGCTCTGGACACTGCTTTGTTGTTTGGAGCACTGTGCAGGGGGCATGCAGGACCACAGGATATGTGCCCTGAGGGCAGCGGTCCAGATCGTTCGCGAGTTGCTGGCACTCAGCAGCTTAAAAAAGTTCTAAAGCACTTTTAACACAATAAAAACACACATTCTTTACTTTATGTAGCCTGGCATTAAAAACTGACTTCAATTGGGCTTATCTCTGTTCATTCCCCTGTCTGCTCACATATGTCATGTCACTGGATTGGCAGAGATACCTTCTCTATGCTGTGCGAGAGGCAAAATGGCAGCACCCACAGGCAGACCTGGATCACAGAGGACAGACAGAAACAACGTTTTTTTGTATATTGATAATGCCCTAGGTAGTTTTTATAGGCTGAATAGTTTATTTGGCAACATTTTCCTGAAATCTGGGAAAGAAAGGGGTTGCTTGAAGTTGTTGCACACCTGGGATAAATGCCTAGTCGTTGGTTTTGCATAAAAATAAATCGATTTCAAAAAAACAATTTTGCAAATTGCTCTTAGCAGACGTCCATCTGGCCGTTCACAAACGGCCATGGACGTAAGGTAGTTAACTAGTGAACTATTAATGGTACCTGAAAAACACTGGGTTCAGTCCATTTAACTGTAAAATGTTCTAATAAGCCTGTCACTGTGCTTTTATCCAGGTCTGTCTATTAGCCCTCATTCACACGAGAAACGGGCGGCCCGTACAGATCCCGGGAGCGGCCCGATACGGCCGTGCACGCAGCACGGAAGGATAGGTGCTGCGTATCCTTCTCTATGGTAGTATGCGGCCGTACGCCACCCTACGCTCACCCGACCTGCACGTCCGTGCGGTTGTCCGTACTCGTACCCTGACAGGATGGATGCATCCGAGCAGGGACACCTGCACCCATATGGACGGACAGGTCGGGTGAGCATAGGGCTACGTATGGCTGCGTACTCACATAGAGAAGGACAGGCTGCTTCCCGGGAGCGGCCCGATACGGATTTGTGTGGGCTGCCCTTTTCCCGTGTGAATGAGGGCTTAACCTATTTTTAATCTTGACAGCTATCGAATATGTAGTCTGCAAAATAGCAATGGTATGGATATTCTACACAACTGATATTTTCTTTATATCCAATTGGATTTTGAAGCTGTCCTGATACTGGATCTGAAGGACACTGTAAATAAAAAAAAAAAATTAAATCTGCAAACCTAGCATTTGGCAGCCAGGAATAGCTGGTATTGTGTTTCAAAAACATGACACAACTTATATAGCCAGGTAAATCACTTTGCAGTAATACACCATCTATTAAGAGTCTCTTAGTAAGTAGGCACCTGGAGGTAGGGCTGGATGGATATTAGGAGTTCTTAAAATGACTACTAGCAGGTAAATGTTTAGAGAGATTTGTATTGTTTTGTTCATTTGGTGACCCCTCTGTGTAGGCGCGATAGAGGTTCCGAAGCTAGAACATGCCCAGAAATGACATTTTTCAATGGCTGGAGTACTTGCTGTTCACATTGCAGTCTATTTTCTTTTGAGTGCTCTGCCTCTAGGGATACCAATTATTGCAGGAAACATAGCTAGGTTGTAATGACTTTGGGAGAATGTGAGTAGTTCTAAGTGGAGACCAGTGGAGCTTCTTTAACTACAAGCACATTTGTGCAGGATGACTAAATCCGCACCTGCATTAGGCTAGCTGAGAGAAATGCAGTGTTACAATCACTTGTGGCTTTTTCATTACTGTACAATTTTGAACATTTTACTTGGTGTTTTGTGTTGAAATAGAAACACATGAACTTTAGAGATGTTAAAATGTCAGTCACGCAGCTAAATACAAAACTGAAATGTATGTGAACTACAAGTGTTTGCCCTCTGATTCACACATCCCTACCATACTGCAAATTCAGGATGGTGGTGTACCCTTCCTGGGTCAATTGCCTGCTTATCGGACTATGAAAGCGCTGTGATGAATAAATAATTAGAAAGTGGGAAAAATTTACATTTCAGAATAAAATGTTATCTCCATACTTCAAGTGGTGGTCACATGACCAAATCGTAGACATTTGAAGAGGAGGGAGGGGTAGGAGTTCAGATTGGCCAATTCCTCCCTTACAGAAATTCTAAGTTGCAGTTCCTTTACATAGTGCTAAACATTAAAGCGGACCCCTACACTCAAAAATCAAATTCTGCCAATGAATCCCTCTATGTATGATGATTAATAATAACATAGACACGGCAGGTGTAAAATGCTTTGATTTGAAATACTTACACTTGCAGAGCATTCACTTCCTGCTTTGAAAGGGCAAAATGACTTTGGTTTGGCAAAGCAATGCATACTGGAATTGCCTTGTCATCAGCAGAGCATTGCTGGGAAATCTCATCTGTAATCTCACTATATCTCGGGGAAAGGCATTTTCCTCCCCTGATATGATGTGCATGGTCACATGTGCTAGTCACATGTCTAGCCACATGTGCCAGAACTCCAGGAAGTAATAGGAGAGCTTGTAATCTCCCCTTAGTAAACATGGCCACTGTCAGAAGACTGGGGAAGAAAAGAGGAATAAGGTATGCAAAGATCTAGAAGGATGTGTTTGTAGATTGTCATTACTAAAGATTTCTAAAGGTGTGTTTGCTGTTATTTTAAAGATTTGGGTAAAGCTCTGCGTTAACAGTAAACTACATAATTTTATCAGAGAAATAGAAACATTCAGAGATTTAAACAAACTTCCCACTCCAGTGTAGCCCTGCAGCAGTGCCATCCTATAGAAGACATGCAGCAAGATTCAGAATAAGCAGTGACCAGACTCGGTTCAGGATACTGCCTTTTATAGTCTCATGTGGGATTCAGTGGTTCTGTGAGGAGAATAGCTGACTTTGTGAAACCTGCTGAAAGTCTGACTTTGTAGATGTTCTAGAGGACAAGAAAAAAAAAAGGACTATAAGATGGGACAGGTTGCTATGCCGAGTGATTGGACAGAGTGTAGTGTGTTTCTCTTTCTTTGGCACTTGACCGTAATGGGCAGAAGAACAGATTTTTATAGCAAAGCTGTGTTTTTGCAGCACTTCCTTGTTAGGTGAAGTACCGTATTTTTCGCTCCATAAGATTATTTCTGTCACAGAAGCCATGCGTCCTATCGTCCGGAGCGTCTTATAGACCGCAAAATACGGTATGTCATATTATGGCAATCACTAGCTTATGCTCCCAACATCTATATTGTGATCACGACTTGTGCAGCAAGTCTGCAGTGTGTATGAATGTGTACACTTCTGTACGTACTGCAGCAGGTTCGTGTAAAAGCAGTATAGTCGGCATTAGATCTACATATAGTGAGGGAGTAGTCACTAAAGCATTACCGATTGTCTGTGTAATGTATTGTAGATATTGATATTGACTTTATTTTTTTGATATTCTCAGGTTAACTTTAATAGATACAGCTCTGTATCAGTTCATCTGGCTTCTGTACCTGCGCATTGCCATTTAATCTACCACTAACAGGGTGTTCATTGTTTTCAGGGATTTTAATATCATCATTATCCTGTGTACAACCTTGCAGGCAAGTTATCCACGAGCACATAAGCCACATACAATACTCATGTGTACAATTTCTCCTGTGTTTGTTTAGGGGTGAAGACCTGCCTAGAGTCATGTGGCCGGGAGCCAGAAGAAGCACATGAGGTGAAGGGCGGACCTCAGAAAGCGCGCCTCAACCGAGAACAGATGGTAAATTTTGATACTGCTTTATTAAAATCCTTATATTCAGATTTCTGTGACCAGCAAAAGCTTGTTCTGCTGCAATACAATTATGTTTAAGTAGCCGATTATGGCCACAGTAAATGTGAGATTTGTGTTCCGTAATAAACAAGTAAGAATATGGTCATTTGTACATTCCTCACTTTAACGTTCCTATTGTGGAATATTAGCAAAGCTTACCAGAATTCAGGGACAGCTTTTGTGTCTGGAATGAAAGGCTAGCACAAATCTGATGAACAACTCACAGACTCCCGATTGCTTCCAGGGACTTTGGCAGTATGTGTGAGTTTCTAGGTCTGTTGATTTGCTGTAGCCAGGGCCGTCTTTAATACTGAATGGACCCTGGGCAAACACTACTACCCACCCCAACCCCCTCCTGACAAAACACCTCCTACCCGCCCCCACCATGCAATTTCACCCATGCATACGCCTATACGACGGAAGAGTGGCGTGGGTGTATCTTTTGCGGGCTCAAGGGCAGGGCCGGTGCAAGGATTATTATGTACACAGGTGAAGGTGCATTTTTCACCCCCTCTTCCCCTCCTAGCACCCTCAGACGACTGTCTATGTAGACTTACTCTAGCACTAACTAGTGTGTAGTGTCCCCCATCATATGTACATGGAAAGCCTGTAGTGACCCCATCACATACAGGCAAGCAGCATGTTGTGACCCCCATCACATACAGACAAGCAGCTTGTAGTGACCCCCATCACATGTTCTCAAAGTACCATACCTTTAAACCCAAATATAATGCGCATGTAAGGTCATTTTAAATGCACAGATAGACATTGCAGGCAAGTGCGTCAGATGCGCAAAAAATGCATGTTTTGACACGTGTTCGCAAAACGCGCAGACGTGCATGCATTGCCATTACCAGTTAATGGCACCCCAAGTGCACTCGCGCAGTACGCGCGTTCCTCCTTTGCGTTTATGCACGTTAAAACTCACACAAACGCAGAAGCAAAAAAACGCAGAATGTGTGTCCTGCAAAATGTACACAAGCTTTTTTTTCTCACGTGTATATAAACCCATTGTAATCAATCTGGACACACGGCACACAAATGTGCGAAAACATGGACGAACAGCACGCGTGTTCCCGCGATGCACAGGTGTAAACCAAGCCTTAAAGTTAGTTCACAAAGGATTATCATATAGACCAGGGCTCAAAATGTCAAGTCTTGAGCTACTTGCCTGGCCGTAACAGTTACTCGCCACCAGTTGCCCCACCTAACCCCTACCCTGGCCTTAACTCCGCCCCTAAACACACTCTCTTAAATAATTTTATGAAACGACACTGTTAAATGTTTTATTCAGATTAAAGTTACAAAAATAAATATTAACATCAAATTTCACAATATTAACATAAAGCAATGTAAACGTAAAAGGAAAATAAGTGCTTTACATCAATAGGGAAACAAGAAAGAAGCAAATGTTAGAGTTTTCAGCATGCCAATTCATTAGTTGGCATGTGATGTGCAACTGTTTTTGGGGTTACATTACTAGGAATGTGCTGATACCGGGCCCTGAACCCGGCGGCACGTCGCATAAGTCGCCGGGACACATTCAACCTGCTGGTTACCGGGATATTAATGGCTAATGAGGTTCCTGTTAATAACTCGATAACCACTGATGCAGGTTGAGAGTCTCTCTCCTCCACTCAACAGCTTACCTGGCACTCTTCTGGGATGAAGTCGCCCACTTTTTTACTAGTTTAAATAAGTTGCCACAGGAGAAAAAGGTACAGGTGAACAGCTTGACAAAACTACAACTCCCTTGATGCCATAGGAGCTCTCTGCAGTCCAATTATTGTGAAGCAGAGAGCTAGCCACCAATCACAGAGCATGGAGTGCTAGTCAGGTGGGCAGTACCATGTCCAATGAGGACACTGCGAGCAGTTTCTATCTATAGACTGATGTTGCATAGCGGTGAGTATATATACACTGGCTGAATTTCCCCTCGCCCTCACTTTATTTACACTCCCTATATGCGAGCACGGTGGAGATTTTGAACTCTGATATAGACTATGACCTGATAAACTAAAAATATTGCTTGTTCCATTAAAAAGGGCTTCATAAGAATTAGGGATGCACCGATACCGGTATTTCGGTATCGAGTAAGAGTACCGATATTTGTTTTCCGGTACTCGCCGAGCATATAATGACTCGCTACCTGGCTTCCTGATTGGCCGGGCAACGTGTAAAGACTCGCCACCCAGCTTTCTGGCCAATCAAGAAGCTGGCACTGTGTAATGACGCACAGTGCCAGCACCCAGCTTCCTGATTGGAAGGGGAGCCAGCTCCATGCTCTCTCGTCACAAGAGAGCATGGAGCCAGCTTCCAGTAATGGAGCCAGTAATGACACGCTGCCCGGCTTCCTAATACCAGAAGTATCGGGCTAGGCATCGGAGCATTTGGGCGAGTACGAGTACTCATCCAAATACTCGGTATCGATACCGATACTAGTATCGGTGCATCCCTAATAATAATATCTTTCAACAGTTAAATTCGCATTTAATGCCAAAAATAACCACTTGTCACCTATGTAATATTTTATGTTTGTGAATCAAAGATTTTTAGGAAACAATTGAGATGAAGTTACTGAGTTGGTGAATTGAGCGCAAAAGGTTTCACGGAATCATTTTTAGAATAGTTAGATTTCCAAATTCCCATCTACAGTTAGCCATAGGAGCCCCTAACTTGTGTCTTGGCTGGACCCCTTGTTGAAGACCTCTTGTATCTAGCATTTTATTAGAAATGGAAAGCTAGTGGCTTTACCCTTAGAAATCAGTCTGGACCTGTCTTTTATTTCCAGTTGAGACGTTTTTTGAGCTGAATGCTGATTAATTGGTTTGAACGAAGCGGTTTTGAAGAGCGGTTAAGGTCTGGAACTCACTGCCATCGGCAGTGATTTCAGCCAAGAGTGTAGATTTGTTCAAGAAACGTTTGGACAATTTCTTGAGGGACCGTAATATCCAGGGATACCAGTATCCCTAAGAATGAGATGATGCCTTGACCTATATGGGTTGGACTTGATGGACGTATGTCTTTATTCAACCCCAAATACTATGTAACTATGCATCAGATTTATGAATTACACTCGCTGTTCTTTTCCTATACTGTAAGCAGCTGTAGATTGTCACTCTGGTATCTATAACTTTCTGAGACGTGACCTTAAGTGTTGTGGATGAGTCCCCTGCCTCATGTAATTTGTTTTTGTTGTATTTTTCCTAGCTTCCAAAACTATTGGATGGATGTCATTTTTATTTCCTGGGATCCTTCAAAGAACACAAAAAGGAAGACTTGACTGAGCTGGTTAAAGCTGCTGGAGGACAAATTCTCATTCGCCAACCAAAGCCTGATAGCGATGTGACCCAGACTATTAACACTGTAGCTTACCATGCTGATGCTGACTCTGATCAAAGGTTCTGCACACAGTATATCATTTATGATAAGACGTCTAAATATGTCCCAGGCAAAGTACGCCAAGGCAAGGTCTGGTTTGCACCCTCAAGCTGGCTGATTGACTGTATAATCTGCTTTCAGCTGCTGCCTGTGCAACAAGAATAAGGCAGACCGACCCGTGCGAGATGCATATGAAACTGGCTACCTATGTGCTATTTCTCTACAGTAAATGAAGCGTGGTATTGCTGTCAGTTTTTTACATTCAAAATAGAATATTTAAAAAAAATTAACAAAGACACTGCATACTTTACTGGAATAACCTTGAATCTGTTGTTGATTCGGTTTTTGCAGTTTTAAACCCGTATATGCAAAATTTTTTCAGTTCAAAGTGGTTTACTTTTTAAACTTGATCAGGGTCATGTTTTAAATTGGTCAATGCCAGTTCTGGTCACTCATAAAGATAGCTGTAAGCAGGTGTCTTGAGACACACTTTTTACACGCTGTAAATAAGCATATCCAATCCTCTTTCTCTATGTACCTAGTACCCATGGAAATTGGGAGATTTGTACAGTAGCCTTTGGAGAGGGCTTATTGCAATTACTGTATCATTTTTACCAACTGTTCTGGTTAAATATCTTCTCAATGAGCACGGCATTATTCGCAATGAGGCCGCAAACTAATAGACTTGTGAGGAGGAACAGTAAAGTACAGGTAAAGAAGGAATCAGAAAGTATGTAATAATTAAATATGACTGACCCATGTACATGTATGATTACAAATTTTACATAGAAAAGCAAGTTTTGAAAAATTGATAAGATTATGTACATCATGCTGATCATTGTTTGCCTATTTATTTAAAAAAATAAAAATACAGATTGAAAAGACAATATGTTCCCTTTAAATGGCTTCATATGTTGATTACCACGCTCTTCATCTCGAATATGCATAAATAGTAATGCTAAGTCATTGGTCTATCTCCTGTGGCCACTGAGTGAGCTCTACCTACGTAATCTTCACATCTTTACGTAGGTAGAGCTCACTCAGTGGCCACAGGAGGTAGAAATGTAAAGATTTGAAGATTACATTGCTATTTCCTGTGGCCACTGAGTGAGCTCTACCTACGTAATCTCCACATCTTTATCATGTTTGTTAAGCGTGAGAAAATTAGTAAGGTCATTTAATTTGCCTGCTGCCATAAGCGGTCTATTCTACCTGAAATGCAAAAAAATATTTTAACCTGATGATAATGTATTTTTCAACAATAAAATAAAGTAAAAAATAATAAAATATATAAAAAAATTTAAAAAAAGTAGTAAAAAAGTACAAATATTAAAAAAAAATAAGTGATAAAAAATAAAATTTAAAAATGTAAAAAAAAAGGAAAACCAACCCTGCCACCCCCACCATGTGCATGCAAATAAATGCATGCGGAGAACGTTGTGTGTGTGTGTGTGTGCGAGCTGAGTGCTGCCCCCTATTCCACTGTGTGCCATATTGTGGTAGCTGGGCAGCCGAACTCTCTTACATGCACAATGTTCATTAAAGGGTAAGCTCACTTTCCCAGGCAGTTTGGAAAATGGAATTACCCTCTCAAATCTGGCCTGTCTCTCTCCTCCCTGCTAGACTTACCTTTCAGCAAACACTCCTTTCCCTCCACCATTACGGGTGTACTATCTGTATTGAATTTAATTTGCATATTGCGAGCACTCGTGCCACGCTGACCAACAAGAAGCTCTTCTTAGCATGGTCAAATATGGTTTTGATTAAAACTATTTTTTGTATCAGGACAAGTAGATTTCGCCCTTGGACTAGTAGTTTTTTAAAACATTTCCACACCCCTGTGTATGTATGTATATATATGTATTTTTATCAGTTCATATGTGCAATGAATGACCAAGATGCATCCTTGATGTAAGGTGTATTTTTAGGATGTTCTACTGCAATACATCATTTATGAAACATTTACTTGAAGAATAATGTTTTTTTCCATAATGAGAACCATTTATCCAAAAGTGAGCTGTAAATGACTGGTTATGTCCTCAAAGAGACTCATTAAAGGTACCTGCAAGCAAAGCACAACATTTATTTATAAATATGCAGAGTGATTTAATATTTACCTGTGCACTATATTAAAAGAAAAAAAAACAGCTATTTTCCATGATTTTTTGGGCTTGAAGCATTTCGCATAGTCTTTTTTCTTTTTTTTTTTTGTATGTTAGGTCACAAAAACTACCCTTAATATACAATGGAGTTCCCAATGGGACCCCTCCCACCAATAATTGGTGATATGCCTTTAGCCAGTGGGAGCTGGTTTGTCATTTGTTGCCCTCCATGAGGAGAAATATTTTATTACAATAAAATGGCAGCTACATGGAAAAGCAAATATCTGGAGCCTAAAACAGTTTACAGAGCTTGAAAAATCCACTCGTCTGTGACGAGAGGACGGTGGAGCCTGACGAGCAGCTTCCCGGCCGGCCATTGTAATTACACGGCCGGCCGGAAGCTTTACATTCAAGTGATCGGGCGTCTCTAGAGACGCTCGATCGCTTGTATTAGCAGCTGTCACTGACGTTGCCGGTCCCGAGATCCGATGCGTCCGGGACCGGCACGGCTCTGTGACAGGAGATCAAAGGGAGTTCAGTATACGAACTCCCTTTGATCTCCTCTCAGTCCCCGAATGCAGGAAGTGATGTATATTACATCACTTCCTGCATTCAGTGTCACTCTCCAGCTGATGAAGCAGATCTCTGCTTCATCGGCTTCTCTGGGGGTCCCTAGGTGACATTAGGGGTCTTGGAGACCCCTGATGTCTCCATAAAGAGGACCTGTCATGTAAATTGGCTATCACATAGGGGGCTTATTAGCCCCCCATGTAATAGCAATAAAGTTGTGTGTAAAAAAAAAAGGTAATACAAAAATTAAAGAATCATAAACAAGCATAAAAAAATGTTTAAAAAAACTTTTTTTTTACTGTCCCCGCCCCCCACATACACACGCCGATATGCGTTGGGTGCGCCTACGTGCAAAAACGACTTTAAGAGTCTTGAATATGTTATAAAATATATTGCAGAACATATTGCTTACTACAGAAACTTCAAGTAGTAACTTGCCATTGGTATTGGCACATTGTTATACAGTGATGGCTAACAACTTGTAAAAGGGAAACAGTAAAACTAGAATAAACAGTCAAGTACCCCTGTCTATGCATTTTGTAATCTCACAACGATTGTTCAATAATGTTTATGCCTAGATAATATATTTAAAAACCGGTGGCCAATAGTCCCTCACTACCAAAAGTGTCGTAAAAAAACTGTCTTGCATAAGGATTGTTTTTGACAGGTATGTAAAGTACTAATAACCCAGATAATTTATCAGGTAATACAGGTAGAGGGGGATAAAATATATGAACCCAATATTTTGTACTGGGTAGGACATCCTCTCTTTTCATAGATTCCTTTCTTGTAGGGTAGTGTGTCATTAATAGTTTTCAACCAGTGTGTCAATGTGGGAGGCAAATCCTGCATCCATGTTTTGGCCACAATTTTTTTAGCTACATAAAGATAATCACATGGGAACATTTTAAAATATTTGTCTACATTGAGATGGTCAATTATTCTAAGTAACATATCTTGTCACCTGTAGCCTTGAATTTTCAGGCATGTCTATAACAAGTGAAAAAGTTTCCAGACACCTGTTGACATTTTAGAATGGTGGACTGGTGTAAAATAATCCCTGTGAACAATGAAATGAGTTTGTCAGATGTCTTAAGGGAGATGTGTTTTTTGTGCTATGAGAGCTTCCCCCATTCATCATCCTCAAGTGGGTCCACATCAATCTCGCTTTATGTTTTCCTGAGAAATGCTACCACCTGGGACTTAGAGTAATTGGTAGGGATGCACAGATACTTTTCGAGTACCAGTGCAGATACTTGGCATTTTCATGAGAACTACCAGGGTTGCAGCGGTTGCAGCTGAGACCTGGCTCTGGCTCTCCACCACTGTCCTGAAATCATTAGTCTGTATTGTTTTAGAAAAACTGTCACATGACAATAAACAAAAATGTATCAGTACTCGTACTTGTAAGTACTCGGCAAGTACCAGTACTCGTACTCGCAAAACTGGTATCTGTGCATCCCTTTATTTATATTTATAAAGACAAAATCATACATTAAAACAGAGATGTACTAATCCCGGGAGCTCCGCGTTCTCCTTACAAATGACAGCTGCATCCTCTAATTTTTCTCTAGTCTAGTCTTGGAGCTCAAAAGTATCGGAACATGTACTCGTACTTGTACTGAGTACTGTACTTGGTATCTGTGCAACCCTAGTAATTGGTATACAGTATATTGGAGATTATTTTAGTTAGGGTCAGATCATTAAGGATAACAAGGTGTGGATTTCAGATAGTCCACCTTGGATCTATCAATGTTGTGTCGGAGCCACGTGTCAGATTTGAATATAGTGAAACATAAAATAATTAGGTTTTAACCCTGTCATCTATAATATGTTTTGGATGAGGGATACCAACTTTAAATAGCAATAATTCTAGGGCCAGTATTTTGGGGTATCTCTAAATTGATGACCTGCGGGGGCTTTTAAAGTGTCTTCTATGGACTTTTTGGGGTACTGCAGTTTTTCGCCATTTCACGGATACACGCAATTTGTAAGCTGGGCATGCTGGGTATCGTTTTACTCGTTGTAAACTCATCTTTTATATTTAATTTAAAAAAAATTGTATTTTGTTGTGTTTTGGGGCATTGAATTACATTTGTCACTAAATTTTGAGGTTGAATAAGGAGCTGTGCTAATTTTGCGCAACATAAAAATTTGCAACTACCACCATTTTATTCTATAGGGTCTTGTCATTCAGAAAATATATAATGTTTGGGGGTTTTAAGTCATTTTCAAGCCTAAAATGTGGAATATAACATGGGTGCAAAAAATGAAAAAAAGGCCTCAGTCATGAAGGGGTTAAGGAGGAATGGGCTACCTCCTGGTGAATCTGCACCCGATTCATCCTTTGCTATATATGCTCCAAGATGGAGACTCTCAGATTAGAGTAAAGGACCACACTACACAGAGGGGCCTGGACGAGGCAGTGCGGCTTCCACATACTTTGCTTGTGCAGTTAAAACCTCTGTTTTTAACCCTAAGCATTAGACAGTGTCATTTTTTGTATTTATTTTTT